ACCACCTAACGGTGCCAAACGGTGTGCGTAGTGAGTTAACGCCGTTCAAGGCGGACGAGGTGGTCAGTTCATTTCCGAACTACACGTCGTACTACGCAAGGCATTGTAACCATACGGACGAGGTGGTCAGTTCGTTTCCGAACTACACGTCGTATTTCGCAAGGCTGTAAACATACGGATTAGATTGTTAGTTCGTTTCCGAACTACGTCTTACTACGCCAGTAAGGTTTGGCGTGGAGCGGGGGTCCTTTCTGTAGGCACTGCCAATGCTATCGGACATTCCAGCCGATACGCGAGCGCCCCGTTGTCCGCGACCGACTCTCTGCTGGGTAGTTCCTACCTTCCTATCCTGCACGATTTCCATCCTCAAGCGGGCTCCCCAGTTAGCGTACCCGTTTGAGATTGATAGGAGTAGGGGATGCAAGTAAGAAGAGGACATGCCAACGACGAGACGCCAAAGCCAAGCCGAACAAAGCAAAATGGACAGCGCTAAAGGAAAAGTGTTCGACAGGCCACCTGCGTCACCCTCATGCCTTGCCTCATCCGTGATGCCGTCGGAAGCGCCACAAGAAACCGTAGAAGGTACCGCCGCACAGAGAATTGAACATCGCGACGATATGCCTAGATCGAGGCCACCAACGGTATGTTCGAATTCGAGCGTTGCTGCGCGCGTTAAGCAGGCGCAACTCGCGGAAATACGACGCCGCGAGTTGCATATTGAATCGGAGCTAATAAAAAAGAGATTAGCATACGAAATAGCTACTATACAGGAGGAAACGGAACCCGAGAGCTTACCCGCCGTCGATAATGTCCAACGAGTGGACGACTGGTTCCAGAATCTACGGCGTCAGAACGTGTTAGAGCCCATGTCGGAAAGGGAAGGCGATACGGCCGCGCAACAGAAAAGGAAGGATGCGCGAGCCGTAGAAGTAGATAAACACCGCCACATTACGGACTCTCCCTTCAAGGAACAGAGTGATGATAAACTAATCGATGAGACAGCAAACCGAGATCGGCAAACGATTAAGGAAGACTCGGGAATGGATAAGCTCGCTCATACATTAGAAAGAATGATGAATAGGCGTCCGGTGCCGCGTCAGGCTCAAGAATTACCAATTTTTAGCGGCGCACCGGCCGAATGGCTGCCGTTTAAAGCAGCAATGCGCGACACCACAGAACAGTGGCACTTCACTAAATCCGAGAACATAGCCAGATTAAGGAGTTGTTTGAAAGGCGAAGCGAAAGAAGCGGTATCAGCGCTTTTATATACCGTCGCCGATCCGGAGATAATAATGAAGTCTTTGGAACAATGTTTCGGTCGACCCGAAGTGATTATTTATCGAGCGCTAGAAGACATAAAGAATTTACCGCGACCGGGTACGACGGCAAGCGAACTCAACACATTCGCAATTAAGCTTCAAAATATAGTATGCATATTGGATAATGTCGACGACCGAGGGTATTTGAGAAATCCATTACTAGTGAGAGAAGTGGTGGAAAAGCTTAGCCCCCACCTCCGATTGCGTTGGTGCGACTATGCATATGAATCCGGAAGCTACGCTGAGCCAGAGATCGTAACATTGTCTCGTTTTTTGATGCGCGAAGCAAATAGATCACTGCAATTCGCATATGTGACTAACAACAACACCGCTGCTATGAAAAAGAATATCGCCGAGACAAAGGGACAGATGAAACCGCGATACGATAGAAAGAGAAGCACTGCGGTGTACGCGACCAACGATGACGTCACCTCCAAAGTATGTCTGTGTTGCGGGGGACGTCATGAAGTACCACAATGTGAACGGTTTAAAACTATGAAGATACCTGAAAGATGGAAATGGATTAAGAAGTCCCAAATTTGTTTTCGATGTGTAAACAGAAAACATCGTCGGATACACTGAGACAGCCCGTTATGTGGTGTAGATGGCTGCCGCCACCCACATCATGCGATGTTGCACGAGAACCGTGCCCAAACGAGCGAGGCGAGACCCACATAGGAAGCCGAGATGGTTGTATCAGCTACTCACTCAACAGAAACATCCAAAGTATTGTTAAAAGTGTGTCCCGTCACCATAAAAGGACCGAAAGGCTCAGTCAACACTTACGCCTTACTCGACGAAGGGTCAACTACAACAGTGATAGATGAAGATCTCGCTAATTACGTGGGTGCCGACGGGCCGACAAATAACTTAAGCATACGAAGCATTAACACGCAGAATGTATACGAAACGAAACAAGTAAATCTTCAATTGATCGCAGGGAATAAGAAGCGATTCAATATTAAAGCTAAAACTATGAAAAATCTTACGTTGAACCGACAAAAGATAAATAAAGAAACGTTGAACTATAAGCATATGCGCCACTTGCGTAGCAAAGATCTATGTTATGGGTATGCCGAACCGCGCATACTGGTCGGAGCGGACAACTGGCATCTTATAGTAACTCGAAGACTGCTCGAGGGTAAGCGTGACGAACCGATCGCTTCCCTCACGAAGCTTGGATGGGTCATCCATGGGTCAGCACCGCGATCGGGAATGCTGAGAGATAGCGACTCGGTGTTGTACGTAGACACACCGC